CCATCGTATCCACAGCTTTTGAATTAATATTCGTGCGGCAATGGTATTTGGTCTGACAAGTACCAGGGGGTGAAATATTCATGATGCTGCAAGCAAGACAAATTGTTTTGTTTCCGTCCATGTTGCCATAAGTCTGAGTAGATTTTCAGCCGAAAAGCTGAATTCATCTCTTGCAGGATTCCCCACCCAACCCAGGACCTTCACGGATGTTTCATGAACAACTACCATTTCGTTACTGGTAGACGCTTACTGGCTTTCAAGATTCCGCATCATTTTTTCTAAATGCGCGTATCATTTGCGGAAGGTAATGCCTTTCGATTTTCATATTGTTTGCACTTCTCGGCAAAATGTAGCAGCCTTCTCTTCTATGTCGGCACCAGTGACAAAGTCGTTCGCGTAAAACGAGTGAGCAAGTGTTTGGGCTATTTGTGCCATGGCAGCTCGTGCTATTTTTACGGGGTAGAGAATAGTAGCTCTAAAGGAGGAACGGGCTACAATTGGCTCCGAGCGGCACTCATGTCATCCTCTGCACTTGCAGCTTGGGCTTAGACAAACCTCCTTTTTCAACTATGAAAGAAAACGAACAGCATCTACTTCTCCTGCTAGTACCACTATCTGAAGAAATGCCTTTACTATGTGGGCAATCATGGCCACCGGGTGCATTCTGAAGCGTTGTAGTATATGCATGAGGTCTTGATACAAGTTGTCACCTTTTTCAAGGTAGTCGTTCAGCGACTTGCGTTCCTTGGCATGTCACAAAGCGCCGAACACCACTCGAATTTCCGTTGTCAGCGCTCGTTCACATACGACTCCTTGTGCGACATACAATATAACTTCGTCACGTCTAGTACTAACTTATGGTACGGTCATACGTTTCGAGCAGTCCCTTCTTGGCGCTGAGAGGGCTGACAAGTTTGTCCGGTCGAGTAATACCGATTTGCCTGTTGATTGAAATCTCAAATCCATCCTTCCAAGGATGGATACCTTCCGTTGAGAAAGCTAATGGTTTTCTCAAAATGTGTCATGGTTGTCAAGTTCCCAAAAGGAACGCAGAAACTCGGTGGAATCGATAGCGAGAACTTTGAGCACGCACACGTTCATGTAGTTGTCGGTCGATACATCAACAGCTATGTGCTTTCCTGCAAGGTCCATCCCAACTTGGAGTTGAGTGCAGCCAACGATTCATTGCCTTCACACCTTGAAATTTCACCGGACAACAGTTACCACATTTGATCCTGCCCTAGCATAGGCTGATACCACTATTCGTTATGACAGACGGGTGCATCAATTCATCGGCGACATCCCTACTGAGCTTCTTGAAAGACGCGACGAAGGCTACGTTCATTGTCACCTCTTTGATGTCCTGGCAGATGTATGGGATCTCGATGGATTGCCTGACCATCCCTTTCTCGGAAACTTGACTTCGCATCTCCGTTCTACTATGCGATTATTTTCAGCCTCTTGGTATAATGCACTTGCGAAAGTGTTGAAGGCAATCTGAGTGGTTTCCACGCTTTTCAGCGGAAGATGCTTGGATAAAGCTTCTCTGACTACCAATGTCAAAAACTTCTCTAACGTAGCGGCAGATGTTATTGTCTATGGTTTAAGCTCGGAAAGTCTTCAGAAAGACAAAGTAAGGAAGCTTTCATTTACGGGTCATTCTCCCAGCGGTGTACGCACTGTCGTAGTTTTGTCATCGTTATTGTTTGCATAAGATGTAGGCTGCGGGCTCTTCTCCGGGTCACACATGGTCGCAGCATGTAGGCCTTTGCATCTCGAGCAGACAATCTCCCTTTTTACAGTCCTGTGCTCATTGTCTTCTAGTAGAGCAGCGGAAACAATTCTTATCGTTCAAAAGCAGTTCCTTCTTCTGCTTCATATGTAACTCAGCTGGGCACAATTTGATTTTCTGATGATTTGACGAGAAGAAGGAGCAGTTGTACTTTCTTGGTTCTCGCGCTGAGTTACTGTGAAGCAGAGATCAGGTGAGTTTCCCTCGGCGAGAATACATCGACTGACTTATCACCAGGTTGGGTTTCGATATCTCGACATCTGGCGTCTTAAAGTCCCTCTTCTCTAAGCTTTCCAACTCGATGCACAGAAAGTTGAGAAGAACATCCAGTCCTACGGGTGTACCATTGCCTCTCAAGTCACGTGACACCTGGACGGCACACGATCGATGGTACTGCACTACTATGTTTCCGCCAGTAGAATGTTGGAGAGCTTAGATGAGAAGGAGACCTTATGAATGTCAAGAGGATCTAGGCCTCAGATACTGACGAGTTCTTGGTCGTACAAGTTGCGCAGAGCTTTGGTGTCATTTGACGAACGGACAGGGCTCCACATGCGTAGCTTTGCAGAATATTCTTTCTCTAGGCGCGTCTTGTCACCAAAGCACCTCTGCAGCATGGTGATAGCATCGTTGTAGCAGCTCTCAGTCGTCAGAAGGCCCCTTATTACCGATGGAGGGTATTTTTAAATATAAATTTGCAGGCAATGGAATTTCTCTTTGGCCATTATGTGGAAGTTTCAGTGAACAGTTTGGTCAAGTCATTTTCAAAATTCACTCCACTTGCATAGTTCCACAGAGAATAGAGCTATTGTCAATTTAGGCAGTGTAATGCCTGTTCCGTCTAATGATGCTGCAACTGTTTGAGCGACCGTTCCTTCGGTTGCAGTTGACGACAGTAGCATGCGATTCTTCTTGCTACTAAGGTCCGCTAGAATGCGAAGAGCATTGTCTTCGTATTCTAGGCTGGCGCTATACTCAGCCTGAATCATTTCTTCGGGAATGTGCCGCTCGATTTCGGCGTTCACGTTATTAGGATCGTTGTTGTTAGCCTTCAGTCCCTCATATATGAGGTGGAGCTGGTCATAAGTCGCAGAGTTGTTAGCGAGGAGACCACTAGCCTCGTTTATAATTTTCGTGTTCTGTGCTCACCGTGATGTCGACTTCGACTTTAGTCGGTTGATGGCGGTGCAGTTGACTGGTAGCTGTCTGTAAGTCACTGGTTTTCAATCCCGGGTTTCGGCATGAAACGTTCGAACGATGGAGTTAACGCGATTAAACTCAACTCCGTCGTCAAGGGTTTTGGCTAACGAACTTTTATTGAGATTAAGCTTGGAAGCGCTCTGCCGTCAGTTCCAAGCATCCCCGCTTCAAGTGCTCTCGCGCTCTTCTTGCTCGGTTCCTTTACCCAGCCCTGAACGTGCAACTAATAAGAGAAGTATTCTACCACAGAACCGCTCCAGGTCCCGCATATACCGTTCAATTATACCCTAATGTTCGTGTAACGTCAATTGTGGTTGCAGTACTGGATATTAAGTTTTATAAACATTGCATATGCACTCCTATGATACAGCCGTCATGTAGGGTTAACGCAAATGGCAGTTAGACGCCATCCACTAAATTTGATTTGTGTAGCAGTGTTGAGTGCTATTATCCTCGCGTGCAACAGCGCAAACAGCTGTGCTTAATACCAGCCTACCGCTTCTGGTGTGTCTAATATCTATGTAGCTGTTCGCATCGTTACGCCAACTGTAAAAAAAACTGATAATATAAAAAGATATTTGGCTGTTTGTGGGTGCAAAAAGATATGCGTGTTCGTGAATTTGTGCATATGTTTAGCGCCACTTCATTACGTACTGCCAAATTAAAATATACAAAATACATTCACCTTCAATCCGCATGATTCGGCAGACATTCACTCCCATTGTACGTGGGATATGCCGAACTTATATAACTTACGAGTCACACAGCACATGATTACGACTTCGTCAATTTGAAGCGCAGGGCACCAGCTGAGATGGGCGCAATAATTTCTTTCGGCGATGCTTTATGTTCGCCTTGATCACCCATACGCATTCGAGCAGATATCAGGGAGACGCTGAGCAGACCAACGAGTTTCCTGTAAATACATTTTAGAGCGAACTCTTGCGCTGCTTTCTATAGGAAATGCAACGCCCGGCACTTCAGCCAGCATGGGAATGATGGGTAGTGCACTGATTTGTCTAATCTTTGTTCTTTTGGGCTCCGTTTTGCTCGATGAGGCCTGAATCCGCTACGCCTCAAAACAAAGTTTGGCAGATTCAGCAAATCGGTTCACGAAGTTCACAATGGTTCGTTTATTTATTCGATACAAAACAAAACACAACAAGAAACAAAGTCACAAGCTCCTTCGAAGCCTACAAGTGCGAGGACTAGGCAAATTCGTGTACAACTACCTATCATTCCCATCGTGACTGAATGATCGCTGAAGTGCCACAGTCTCCTCTAGTTAATTTTAGGAAATTGTGGAGCAGATCATGTGACGCGAATGAATATATGTGAAGGGATTTAATGCCCTTCCTATTGGCTAAAGGGCCGTGTAAGCTTCGCAGTGCTGAAGAGAACTTCTGAGATGGAGTATACAGGCTTCAGTACAGTCATCGCTTTGAAAAGCATAGCGAGGCAAGGTCCGTTGCTGCGGCAATAGGGGACGAAAACTGAGAAAATGCGTGTCACATGAAACTTTATTCCAAAATCGAAGCAATACTGTGAGGCGAACCAAACCCATGATTTGATTACGATGCATGCACTCTACGCTTTTCAGCGTGCATTAAATTCATGGTACACGGGTGCATTTGCATTGCTGAATTGAAATGAGGCAACGCGCTGTGACCAGGATTTTCACCTCGCGACATCGTACTAAGCGCCGCAGCGCCGCAAGTGCGAAGCCACCCAGCAAATGTAAAAAAAAAACATATTTTTTTCTTCCAAACTCTACTCCGAAAACAGTACAGCGGTTTCTGAGAAAGTGATTGGCGTGCAAATCAGGCGTGAGAACTCGCTGTCGTAATACTGGCTTCGTAGGCTTGAATACGCATTAGCTCGACAAAGGCGTGACAGAGAATTAGGAGGACACTGCAGAATACTTTTTGAACTTTCGAACAGCTGTAAATGCATAACTTAAAACCATGAATGTTGACAAAGAGAGCTAAAAGACCCACAGAAGACTCACCCTGGAACACCGCCAGATTCGATGTGGTTGGCCAAGGTGACGTCGTCGGACCACACATCGTATTGCCATTTGCGCAGGCCCAGCACACCGCACAACGCGTTTCCAGTGTGCACTCCAATGCGCATGTCCACGTTCACCTCGGTGGCCTCGCGGTCAACACTGCACAGGAGACAAACAGTAGCTCTTAAGGCGATTCCCAGACACACATTTAAAGCAACACACAGCTGCGAAAACAATTCATGGAAACATGAGTATTTTTTAACAGCTTTAAGGGCGCCGAAAACAGGTGGCTCTTAGAGCTCGAGAAAAAACATCGGGTGTCCGCAAAAAATCCTTTGCGCCGTCGCTGAAGGAGTTACATGCTCACAGAGGCAATGGGGACAAAAATTAGACGCGATAGTAGCGCCGTTTGGATTCGGGCGGCAGTTGTGAAAATATCAAACAATTACGATTTTACTTATAACCGGGAATGTTTTACTCTCAACTGACGTTTTCAAATGAATAAGAACTAAAAAAGTCACAGTTTCACCACAAGGGCCAAGCAATAGTTGCGATAGAAACAACTCGGAACGTAACGATGAGAACTGCAAGCGGATCGAAATGTGCAGTGGCTGCTCACGTGAAAATGAGGCACAAAAACAACATACACAGTACGACAGAGAACTAACAACGTTTACGGCCGGACACGTAACACGTTGTTTTAAGAAAAACAACGCACGAAACGTAATCACAACTACAGATGAGTTCAAACTTACAAGTGTTTCAGTTGTTATGCTTCGCTGTGTATGAAAAGCACGCTCTTTTTGCAAACGGGACCTGTGCAGCGAGCAGAAGTGACTTTTGTGGGCCCGGCCACTAACGCGATCGTTCCTCGTATTAGTATAGTACAATTTATCTCGTATTAGTTTAGTACGTTGCAGTAAACTACTTTCTAGAAGCTCACAACTATATTCCATACTTATTTGAGTAAGTTGTGAAGCCGCGTACAAGGTAGAGTAAAATGACAACGCTGATCACACAAACTTGCATCAATAACTTATTTTATTGCGAGTCAATCGATCGATGTTTACATAAAATAAAGGCCACGTAAGTAATGTTTCAGCATATGCAGCAGTAAAAGACATGCATGCATCAGCGTTCATGTGCGGCAAGGTACGCACTATGTATAGCCCCTACGCTGATGCTCGGAGCACTGCAGCTGACCAGCGCTGCCTGATATATCCAACGAACAGCATAAAACATTCGCTGGTGTAAGTAAAGGTATACCGCTAACGTCTCGGCACTTCGGTAATTCAAGACGTCGCACAACTCATTGACAGTATTCAGCAAACTTTCCTGTAATTGATATCAAGACATCCACGTAGCTTTCACGAGCAGTGCGTTAGCGACCAGACAACACGGTGGAACTGTTTGTTTTCTGGTTCACGATGCTGCCTGCTGCTACCACCTAAAGTTTGTCACTTTCTAATCCCCAACGCGTTTGCGCTATCGGAACCAAACAAGAACAGAGAAATATGTGCACAAGACGATCGCTAGACTTCAAGTGAAAATTTCACACTGGACACGTGACATATAAAATGAAAAACAACAACAAAAGTTAAGCTGATAGTAACGTCCCCATTCTGCCGTTAATGCAAGCTTCGCGTCGTGCATGCGCCTTTTCAGGAAGCCAATTGAGGGCACACTTAAAGATATATCTGCCTCCCTGTGTGTATACATGGCCGCACGGATCTCACGTTGGATCTGGTCATGATCCCGTCGCAACACCCGAGTTGTCAGCAATTGCTGGAGTGCACCCACACCTGCTCACAATGATCGGCCAAGTGGCCCCCCGCGGCAAGCGATCAAACCACTGCTCCGATTCTTACCTTTTTAGGTAAGCATGTGTGAAAATAAAGCATAGAGTTGCCGTGCCTGCAGGTTCTCCGCGCAACGAGTAAATTAAAGGTATGCGTTGCAGCTTGGTTATTTCCGTCGAGCTCCGAAAACTCTAGCCATCATAATCTTTTGAGTTATTTCTTATAATAATGATATGTGTGGTTTAACTTTCGAAAACCACAGCAATGTCCTTATTTTTATACGTATATAATGTTGCAGACACGTTAGGATAATATTACTGATTAGTTATACAACCAATTAGTCTCATTATTATAGTCCCTAAGAGCCGCGCATACCTTCACAGTGGAGAACACAGATATATAGGCTTCAAAAGACAAAATGACAGGCACAGATAAATCCGTTCTACTACCACGTAAAGGTATTTCTATAAAGGTTTTCGGACTGTAGTAGGCCGCCTTCAAGTCAAAAGGAAATTATCTATTTTTCCAATTCTCCACAGAACGCGCGCAGTGGATCATGCTGCCTTTGAAAACATTTACACCATGTTACCGTGTTTTGTTTTTATGCGAAGCATTTCTTAGCGAACTTCAGCGACTTTGAGCGTATCTATCTATCTAGCCGCTTAAGTTTGGGTGCTCTCGTGGTAACCCCCTTAAATTGGCGTGAACCGAAATTAGCATGATAGGGTAAGATGATTAGACGAATATGACGCGCTGGTCAAGACATGAATAATGTCACGACCCCGTCGCGTAGCTCGTCAGACACTTTCCATCAGACAGTGGCACATACCCACGGGCGGTAATGTGCCGCTGGTATGCGGATATGTGCCGCAAGTGATCGACACTTAGTATCTATCCTGGAATAACAAGAACACACATGGGCAATTTTAACACGTGAGCGCTAAGCAATACCCTACGTCGGTAGCGTCGAGTCAAAAAGAAGGATAAAATAAGCTTCAGGATCAAGCAGGAATCGAACCCAAGCATTCTGCGTGGCAGTCAAGCATTCTACCTCAAAGCTACGCCAGGTCTCAGAACCACTTTTTAAATAGATGCTGATATTCGTGAAACGTCAATAGGGGTTGCAGTGCTGCCTACCCATTTTCATGAACATTGCACATGTAATGCTTTGATACATTTGACACGTCTGGTTAACATCCATTGTGGTTACGTGCCATTGCGCTGAAGTCTATTTATGTAGCAGTGTCCAGGGCCAGCGTCATCGCGAGCCTCAGCACTACATATTAGCTTATGGTGTTTCTAATGCGCATGTATCATTGGTATCGTTGAGTAAGGCAAACAGCCGGTTATATAAACATCTGCAACTCGTCAACATATTTCTGTGCGTGCTAGCATTTGTACATAAATTTAGCGTAATTTCATAAAGTGTCAGCTCTAGAAAAAAAATCTGCAAACAAGTCACGTTCCCTCCACATGCTTTGCATGACCTAGATTCCCAGGTACGTGGGATCTGCCAAACGTTTTCTTTCTATGTATTTATAAAGTGTTAATGACGCTTTTTTTTCGGATATAAAAATGCCTGCCAATGTGTTTGAAAGATTCCGTAGGGTGTAAACAAAGCGTGATTGTTCCAAATCGTCCTAAAGTGCACCTAACATTCCACTCGGAGATATGCGTCACAAATCAGCGATTTCATAGAGGTCGCTCCGTAATCGCAAGACGCAGAATATCCTCGCACTGGCGCACGTGCGGCGCATACGTGGCGAAGTTAGCGATGGCCACTGAAGTCTCAATCGTGCGCCGAGACGCAAGTAGTGTCAAAGCATAGATTACAATATGAACCATGATTAAAAGAGGGCGTTGCGCGAACGTGAGCGCGAGTATGACGTCTGTATTATGAAAGATTTTGCGATATCAAAGTTAGCCAACAGTTTAACACACGCGAGAACTAAATACTTTCCATCATCACGCACAACACACAGTGCTGAATATGTTCGACCACGCCAAACATCTGAACAAGCAAGATGCGAGTGTGCTTAGCGTGACATTCCATGGAATTATGTACGCATTGCAAGTACTTGCCGGCGTTCGGGGTGCGTCAAACGTTCCCAGAAGACGGCGCTATAATGAGATAGTATATAGCCTGGGAACGTTTGATCGATCCTGTATACAACATATACGCTATCGCATTCTGTCTTGCTATGCCACGGCTTTCAGAAATTTTTAAATTGACCTGCACCACATCATTTTACCCTCGCTGTCCCAGCAATCACATGTGAAGAATGGGTATATTTAGTAATCAAAAGTCTGGCAAAAAAATTTTACACAATAAAGCAGAAGCGTGAACTATGACGACTGCCACTGGGGCGACCAAATGATTGCACACAAACACTACCAAGCTGCCATTCGCTTTCTCTTTAATAATGAACATACGAGTATCTATAGCGCTAAACATGCTAAACGGGGGGACAATATCCACTAACACCAATAAACGGCACACCTCGGAAACAGGATAGGCGCCGAAGGAAAACTTAAAGTTGTGCTTGTCAGCAAAAAGCCTATCGAGCTGGGCGAACAAGTCCTCCTCGGCCAGCTCAAACGCCTGCTAAAGCACAATGATCCCAGCGTGTATTTGCACCAAAAGCAGCTGCAGATACATTTGAGCGCAAGGCCACAGCCAAAGTTCCCTGGACAGTTGTCACGCATACCTAGGAACCGAAGTTGCGCCCGCAGCATCCAGAGCTTCTTTCGATTCCGGGGAACCAGACGACTTCTCCCAATCTTCGGCGGACTCCGCAACGCAGCTCCGAGCACTCCCGAAGTCTGGCAAATGTAGGTTCTTCCAAACATTCCTTTCATCAGGTCTATTCTGCTCGTACAATATATCAGTGCGTGAACGAAGAAAACGCATACGTGCCCTCTTCTTGAACTGATGTTTCATTGAACTGATGTTTCGGCCCCAGCCGAAACATTCATCGCAAAGACCGCCGACCCAATGGAGGAGATCAAGCGCCGAACCTCCCCGTGGTGAACCTCGAGGTAATCGGCCACGACCACGCAAGTATGACCCATGGATCGATACCTGTCGACACGCTGGTGCAGTTCCTTCATCGTGACGCCGACCGCTTCAGGGTGCTCCTCCAAGACAGGCATGGTGGAGACCTTTCTGGAGCCACCCGCTCTCCCGAAGATACTGAAACCTTCAAACAGCGTTTTATTCGTGGTGTGTTCGACAGCGCGAGCACTCCCCTTTTCGTCTCTGGCCTGGATGGACACGAATCTTGGCCTTGAGGACTCAGCAGGCCTGCTGCCAATGAATGCAGAACATCTCCGCTTCCACCTGGGGTCGAACACTAGGCG